TGGGATCAGGATGTTGTGGGGTTTGGGATTGGCCTTGCCCTGGGATGTGGGACTGGGATCAGGATGTTGTGGGGTTTGGGATTGGCCTTGCTCTGGGATGTGGGACTGGGATCAGGATGTTGTGGGGTTTGGGATTGGCCTTGCTCTGGGATGTGGGACTGGGATCAGTTTCGCTCTGGGATCCAGGCGGAGGGTTGGGATTGAGCCCAGACCCTGCCCCTGTCCCCGGGAGGCGGTGCTGATCCTGGTCCCCGGTCCCCTGCCTGAGCCAGCTCCTGTTCCTGGAGCCGGCCTCCGGATGCTGCTGGGGACCGCGCTGCGCTGCTTCCTGGCCGCCCGGAGCCTGTCCGCGATGTCAGCGCCGGAGCCAGGGTCTGAGCCCCGGCGGGAGGAGGACTCCAGCCCCGGGGAGAGTACTGACCGCCTGCTCCCGGAGCTGAGAGCCGTGGCCGGGGCTCTGAGAGCGGCTCGCAGCCCCGAGCAGCAGCGGCAATGCCTGGCGGAGATGCAGAGCCTGGTGGATGGGGCATGGGCACTGCCCGGGCTCGGCAGGGACCTGGCATCCGCTCTGTGTGAGCAGCTCCGCCTGGAGCGGGTCCTCGAACTCTTGCTGCAACTGGTCCACGGGCCGGAGCTACTCTCCCGTTATCCCGCAGCATCCCTCCTGGAACAGGTCCTCATCCCCGGCAACAGGTAAAGGGGGGCAAATACAGGGGGGTGGGGGGGGCAAACAGACCCGGGGGGTATGGGGGCACAGACAGGGGGGGAGGGGGACAAATAGAGAGGGAGTGGGGGCAAATAGAGAGGTGATGGCAGCAAATAGACCCAGGAATGGGGGCAAATAGACTGGGGATAGTAGGCAAATAAAGAAGGGAGGGGTGCAAATAGAGCAGGGATATGGGCAGATAGACCTGGGATAGGGGGCAAATAAAGAAGGAAGGGGGCAAATAAAGAAGGAAGAGGAGGCAAATACAGTAGGGTTACAGGCAAGTCGACCCAAGATATGAGCAAATAGACTGGGGCTAGGGGGCAAATAAAGAGGTGATGGCGGCAAATAGACTGTGAATATGAGCAAATAGACTGGGGATGGGGGCAAAAAGAGAGGGGGTGGTGCAAATAGACTGGGGAAAGTGGCAAATAAAGAAGGGAGGGGCAAATAGAGCAGGGATATGGGCAAACACACCTGGGAAATGAGCAAATAGACCGGGAATAGGGGCAAATAGAGAGGAGACGGGGGCAAATAGACAGGGGATGCGGTAAATAGACCAGAGACAGTGAACAAATAGAGAGGGGTAGGGGGCAAATAGAATGGGGATAGGAGGCAAATAGACTGGGGTAAGAGGCAGGGTGCAAATAGACAGGGGAAGGGACAAATACACTGGAGCAGGGAGTAATTAGGTTGGGGCAGTGCACAATTATACCAGGACTAGGGGCAATTAGACTGGGCAAGGGGCATGGAGCAGTTACTGAGTTATGATTTTATCTCAGAGTCTCAGTGCCTGCAGTAGTTTACTTCCCCGATGGTAGTGAACAGTTTGGTGGAGCCAGCTGACTGATGTGTTATTTGCACACAGGGACTGGGTGGCTCGCTGTGGCCTGGGCGTGATTCTGGATTTGGCCAATGACCGTGAAGATGCCCAGCTGGCGAGGGTGCTCTCTGGGATCCTGCAGCACATGTTCAAACACACCGAGGGTACGTCCCACCTGCTCATCACCAACGGGGGCCTGGACTACATCCTGTACTGGTGCCGCAGCCAGGACCCCACTATCCTGCAGCACTGTGCCATCGCCCTTGCCAACTGTGCCATGCACGGTGGGCCGACCAACCAGAGGCTGATGATCGAAAAGAAGACCGCGGATTGGCTGTTCCCGCTGGCCTTTTCCAAGGATGAGCTGGTGCGGTTTCATGCCTGCCTGGCCATCACTGCTCTGGCAACCAACAAGGAGCTGGAGAAGGAGGTGGAGAGCTCAGGTACACTGGATCTGGTGGAGCCCTTCATCGCCTCCCTTCACCCCGAAGAGTTTGCCAACAACTGGCTGCACAGCAGGGACAATGCCCAAGGCCGCAATGCAGATGACCTCCAGCGGTTGGTACAGCTCCTGGACAGTTCAAGGGTCGAGGCACAGTGTATGGCCACTTTCTACCTGTGTGTCGAAACTGACATCAAATTACAGCAGAAAAAGACCCAGGTACTGGGACAGAGAGAAGGGGGTGGTTGGTTGGGGGGAGTGGGGGGGCTGAAGGTGGGGGAGCTGAAGGTGGGGGGAGAGAGAGTTAGGTGGAGGGGGAGAGGGCGTGAGGGGGAAGGGGAGAGAGAGAATGAAAGGAGAGAGGCAGGATGCAGGGAAAGAGCTGAAGAGGGGAGTGAATAATCAGGTGGAGGAGAGATAGAACATAGAACATTACAGTGCAGTACAGGCCCTTCAGCCCTCGATGTTGCGCCGACCTGTGAAACCAATCTGAAGCCCATCTAACCTAAACTATTCCATTATCATCCATATGTTTATCCAATGACCATTTAAATGCCCTTAAAGTTGGCGAGTCTACTACTTTTGCAGGCAGGGCATTCCACGCCCTTACTAGTCTCTGAGTAAAGAACCTACCTCTGACATCTGTCCTATATCTATCACCCCTCAATTTAAAGCTATGTCCCCTCATGCTAGCCACCACCATCCGAGGAAAAAGGCTCCCACTGTCCACCCTATCTAATCCTCTGATCATCTTGTAGAGAGAGAGGGAATATCGAGGAAGAATGGAGGAGTGTGATGGATGTGGGGAGCAGGCAGAAGGAGGAGAAGAGATCACGATAAAGGAGGGAAATGGGAGTGAGGGAAACCGAGAGGGAAAGGGAAGGGGCCACAGGTAGAGATTGAGGAGAGTGAGAAATTGTGAGTGGTGGCTGGAGTGAGAGAAAGGGTCTAGAGCAAGGGAAGGTGATGGACAGTGAGTAATCAATAAGCGAGGGACAAGAGAGGGAGCAGGAAAATGACCATCAAAGACTCTCTGTCCTGGATCAGAGCCTTACCTCTCCTCCCTGAGGACCACCTCAAATGTAGCCTCATCTTTGTTAAGGATCCAGGGACAGACCTGCTCTCCTGCCCCCAGATTCAACCAAGGAGTGGACAAAATGAGGCTGTGGGACCTCTCCATCTCTTATGCCCGTCTCCCCTTTCATATAAACATAAGAACCAGGAGCAAGGGTAGGCCATCTGGCCCATCGAGCTGCTGCACCATTCAATTAGATTGTAGCTGACTCAGTTCCACTTACCCACCGTCTCACCATAACCCTTAATTCCTTTACTGTTCAAAAATCTATCTTTGCCTTAAAAACATTCAAATAGGAAGCTTCACTGGACGGGGAGTTCCACAGATTTACAACCCTTTGGGTGAAGAAGTTCCTCCTCAGCTCAGTCTTAAATCTGTTCCCCCCTTATTTTGAAGCTATGCCTCTGGTTCTAGTCTCACCCACCAGTGGGAACATCCTCCCTGCTTTATCCTATCTATTCCCCTCAGAATTTTATAAGTTTCAATAAGATCCCCTCTCATCTTCTAAATTTCAATGAGTATAGTCCCAGTCTACTCAGTCTCTTCTCATAAACCAACCCTCTCGACTACAGAATCGATCTAGTGAATCTCCTCTGTACCCCCTCCAGTGCCAGTACATCCTAAGGAGACCAAAACTACACACGGTACTCCAGGTGTGTCCTCACCAGCATCCTGTACTGCTGCAACATAACTCCCTGCTTTTAAACTCCATCCCTTTAGCAATGAAGGACAAAATTCCATTTGTCTTCTTAATTACCTGTTGTACCTGCAAACCAACCTTCTGTGATTCATACACAAGGACACCCAGGTCCCTCTGCACAGCAGCATGCTGTAATTATTAACTGTTCAAAAAATAGCCCTTTTTACTGTTATTCCTTCCAAAATGGATAACTTCACATTTATCGATGTTGTACTCCACCTGCCAGTCCTTTGCCCACTCACTTAAAATTATCTATATCCCTTTACAGACTTTCAGTGTCCTCTGCACACTTTGCTCTACCACTCACCTTAGTGTCGCAACTTTGACACCCTACACTCAGCCCCCAACTCCAAACCATTGATGTAAATTGTAACCATTTGTAGCCCCAACACTGATCCCTGAGGCACACCACTAGCCACTGATTCTGGTTGGCTCTCGGGCTCGCTCCTCTTCTCTCATATCCCACTCCTCTATCTTTCCCTCTCTTCCCTATCTCCCCTTTCCCCCACATCTCTCTCTCTCCCCCTCTGTCTCTCCCTCTCTTCCTTATCCCCCCTTTCCCCCACATCTCTCTCTCTCCCCCTCTGTCTCTCCTTCTCTTGATCTAGACTGCTCTCAATCTCCCACTCTTCCCCCCCGCACTGTGCCCCCATCAATCACATAAGTACAAACACAGGGAATGCGAGGAAAACTCAACAGGTCTGGCAGCATCTGTGGAGACAGAGAGAGTTGATGATTTGAGTTCCATGTGACTCTTCTTCAGTAAAGAATCACCTTCGTGTCTGTTTCTGTTTTAATTTCAGATGTGCTGTATCCAAGGTATTTTGCTACTATTTCTGTGACAATCAGCCTCTTCTGTTTCAGATATTCCATGAAATTGGAGCCATATCAGGTCTAAAGAGACTGGTCAGTTACTCCAGCAATGCCACCGTCTCCACGCTTGCCAAGAAAGCGCTGGAGCTGATGGGGGAGGAAGTCTCAAAGCAGCTCTCCCTCAATGTCCCAAACTGGAAAGCTGCTGGAGTTCACACCTGGCTGCAGCAGATTGGATTCAGCATTTACGGCGAGAGATTCCTGGTGAGAGAAACAGCACTATCACAGGCTCCTGGGAATTCCAGCACTAACCACAGGACCCATGTCTGCCTCTGTCATCCCTCTGTTCCAGACAGAGTGTGTGTGTGTGAGAGAGAGTGTGTGTGTGTGTGTGTGTGTATATGTGTCAGAGAGAGAGAGAGTGTGTGTGTGTGTGTGAGTGCATGTGTGTGTGTGTGTGTGTGTGAGAGAGAGAGTTTGTGGGCGTGTGTGTGTGTGTGGGCGTGTGTGTGTCGGTGTCTGCGTGTGAGAGAGAATGTGTGTGTGTGAGAGAAAGAGTTTGTGTGCGTGTCTGTGTGTGCGTGTGTGTCTGTGTTTGTGCGTGTGTGTGTCTGTGTGAGAGAGCGTGTGTACGTGAGTGTGTGTGTGTGTGTGAGAGAGTATGTGTGTGTGTGTGTGTATGCATATGTGTGTGTGTGAGTGCGTGTGCGTCAGACTTTCCATTTTGATAATCAGATTCATTTCTGTATCAGGGTCTACAGGTTGATGGGGATCTCCTGCTACTGATAACAGATTCGGAATTACGGGAAGATGTGGGAATGTCATCCAGCATAACCCGCAGAAGGTGAGAGAACATCCTACAGTGACTCATTGATGGGGACAGTGTAGAGAAAGCTTTACTCTGTATCTAACCCTGTGCTGTCCCTGCCCTGGGAGTGTTTGATGGGGGACAGTGTAGAGGAAGCTTTACCCTCGATCTAATGCCGTGCCGTCCCTGTCCTGGGGATATTTGATGGGGACAGTGTAGAGAGAGATTTACCCTCTATCTAATGCCATGCTGTCCCTGTCATGGGAGTGTTTGATGGGGGACAGTGTCGAGAGAGCTTTACTCTGTATCTAACCCCGTGCTGTCCCTGTCCTGGGAGTGTTTGATGGGGGACAGTGTAGAGAGAGCTTTACTCTGTATCTAACCCCATGCTGTCCCTGTCCTGGGACTGTTTGATGGAGACAGTGTAGAGGAAGGTTTACTTTCAGTTTAAAAGTGTAGAGGCAGTTTTACTGTGACCGTGACCTGTCATTTTGAACAAGATGATTGAAATGACAAAGACTTTTTCTCTGCTTCAGGTTTCTCAGAGAATTGAAGGAATTAAAGACTTATGCTAACTATTCAAGCTGTGACCCAAGTAACCTGGCTGATTGGCTGGGGAGTATTGACCCTGGCTATCGGCAGTATACCTACAATCTGGTGCATTGTGGGATTGAGCAGGCCACTTTACACTCCGTGACAGACGAGCAGCTCGAGTTGGATTGTCGGATTGAGACAGGATTCCATCGAGCGAGGATCCTTGCTGCAGCACAGGGTACAGGGTACAAGCAGGGATCAGGCGATAGGAAATTGAATAAAACACACAACAAGGAAGCTCATAACGCCATTACTCCCTCAATATTCAAATCCATGTCAATACTGACCCTCCGACAGTGCGGCACTCACTCAGCACTGACCCTTTGACAGTGCCCACTCCCTCAGCACTGACCCTCCGACAGTGCCCACTCCCTCAGCACTGACCCTCCGACAGTGCGGCGCTCCCTCAGCACTGACCCTCCGACAGTGCGGCGCTCCCTCAGCGCTG